TGCAATGATAAAGAATAACGATGAGTCTATAAAACATCTTATAACACAGATGAATCCGGAGGACATTATGCTCAGCTAAGTCAGTCAAACACAAAAGGACAAATATTGCATAATACCACTTTTATGAAAGTCAAAAACAGATATACATACAAAAAGCAACATTCTTTACTTAGTGCTGGTAAAGGTAACACATAAAGGGGAAGTCAGCACAACTTGACCAAGGTAAATGAAGACCAAGGTAAAAGAGGTAAGCAAGATTAAAGGGCAACTATGGTAAATGCTGTAACATACATATTTTGCAACAACAGTAAAAACAGGCAAAAAAATATGTGAGTGGTTATACAGGTAGATATGTATGCTGAATGAGTAGAGGAAGGCACTAGGGAGTACATACATAGGCATATTTGTGGGCATATGTATATTTATGTTTATATGTGCTGCATATATATTCATATACATATGATAAAGCACACGGGGAACAGTTACGTATACTTCCTAGACATATTCAAACACCTCACGGAATTAATTTGCTGGGTTTGAAGGCTCAGGACAATAGTGTCATGGGACAACTACGTCAACTGGCACAACTTAGTTCTTAAAGATAATGTTCTAACAAGTTTGGTGAGTAGCATCTAGGGTCTTAAAAGCTTACAAGCAGCCATTTCAGATATAACTGTTGGTCTCTTCCTGTCTGGAGCAAAGAAGAGTGAAGGAAACCAAAGACTCAAGGAGGCAATAACCATATCTTTCCTCATATAACACACATCGTCTATGCTTGTTTGTCAACTGCTCCCACTACCCCACGAGGTATTTTTGTAAATGTGCTATATTAATTATTTTTTCAGCAACATGTTTAGGGGGGAAAAAAAAAAAGGCATAGCTGTACTAATCAAAATACCTCCTGGGTGGAGGGAACAGCTGGCAAACAAATGAAGAAGATGCGTGTTATTTGCAAAAAATACAATAGTCCACAGGACTAATGGCCCACATGAACCAAAGCCTAATTTTCTAACCTAAGACCAGAAGGACTAGCTGGTGCCCAGCTACTACCACCAACTGTTGATGAGGGATACAATAAAAAGTCACAGAATGTGAGAAAAACGTAGAACACCACTCAAATTTATTTTAAAAACCAGACTTACTGGACTGAGAGAGACTAGAAGAATCCCTGAGACTCTCACCCTAAGATATCTTTTTAACCTGGAACTGAAGCCATTCCCAGAGGTCATCTTTCAGCCAAATAACAGACTGGCCTATAAACAATTAACACCCTGAGGAATGTGCTCCTTTAAACAATCAACTATATGAGACCAAACTGTCAACATTTAACCAAAAGCAAAGGTAAGAAAGGAAGGAAGAAGGGCCGGGAAACTGGAGGGATGGAAACAAAGTAGGCAAGGTGGAAACCATGGAGTGCTGACATGAGAGTGCTGACTCCTTTTGGGGACTATAATCAGTGCCAGGGAACAATCTGCATATGAATAGTTGAATGGGTATCTAATCTGCTGTGCAAATCTTACCTAAAACACAATAAAATATTCATACTCGCACACAAAAAGATACACCTGATGCTCAAAATAGATCATGACCTAACCATAATCTAAAACCATAAAACTCAGCAGCAAACAGGGGGGCAAGACTTCAAGACCTCATTTTTGACAATGGATTCTTACATTGACACAAGAAGCACAAGCAACAAAAGAAAAAAGGATAAACTAAATTTCATCAAAATTTTAAACTTTTGTGCATCAAAGAACTTTATCAAGAATATAAAATGACAATGTACAGGATGGGAAAACTTCTGGTAACCATGTATGTAATACAGGTTTAATATCCAGAATATATAAAGAGCCACTATAACTCAAAAACAAAAAATAAACAACACAAATGAAAAACAGACAAAGAACTTAAATATACATTCCCTGAGGAAGATACACAAATGGCTGATAAGCACATGAAAATATGTCCAACATCATCAGTCATTAAGGAAACGCAAATCAAAACCACAATGAGATACCAGGTCACACCCAATAAGAAGGCTATCTATTATCAGAAAACAAAATAACAAATGAGGATAAGAAGAAACAAGAACCCTTGTGCATTGCTGGTGAGAACGTAAAATGGTGTGGAAAACAGTTTGGTGGTTCCTCAAAAACAAAAATTACCATATAATCCCAAGGAGCCCAGGTGGCACAACAGTTAAGCAATCACAGCTGCTAACCAGAAGGATGGCAGTTCAAACCCACCTTGTGGCTCCACAGGAGAAAAGATCTGATGGTCTGCTCCTATAAAGATTAGAGCCTAGAAAAACCTATGGGGCAGTTGTACTCTGTCACACAGGGTCATTATGAGTCGAAAATGACTCAACAACACCTAACAACCAGCATATGATGCAGCAATTCTACTCCTAGATATATACTCAAAAGACTTGAAAGCAGGGACTCAAATGTATCAATACTCGTACACCAATGTTCACAACAGCCAAAGTGGAAACAATCCAAGTGTCCAACGATAGGTGAACGGATAAACAAAATATGGTATATACATACAATGGAATATTATGCAGCCATAAAGAGAATGATGTCTTGATACATGCTGACACAGATGGACCTTGAAAATATTACACTAAGTGAAATAAGTCATACACAATACAAATATATAGTATAACATGGATATTTTGTATGACCCCACTTAATGTGAAATGTCTAGAACAAGTAATGGATAGAGACAAAGTTTAATTTGTCATTACCAGGGGCTAGGAAAAGGCAAATTGCTTTAGGGTTATGGGGTTTCTGTCTGTGATGAAAAACTTTCAGAAACAGACAGTGGTGATGGCTGTACAACAAGGTGAATGTTAATATCACTGAATTGTACACGTAAAGATTTTCTGTTTTATAAATTTTAAAAAATACACATTCCAAATAAATCAATGCTACAAATGTATTTGGGAGCTCTGGTGGTGTAGTGCCTAAGGCACTTGACTGCTAACCAGAAGGCTGGCGGTTCAAACCCACCAGCCACTCGGAAGGAAGGTTGGGCAGTCTACTTCCGTAGTAATACAGCCTCAGAAACCCAAGGGGGGGGTGACTATGAGTTGGATCCAACTCCACGGCAGTGGTTAGTTTGTTCATACAAATGCATTTATAATCACTAATAGTATGGTTATTACTCAATCATGGCATTAAATACAGTTTTTAAACAGTGTTTGCTCTGAAGGACCCTGTAGCTCCGCCTAGATATGGACTGGGGCTCGACTCTCCCAGCCACATGACCCTGAGCAGTTTTCTAAACCTTTCAGGCTCAGTTTGTAAGGGGTAAAGGCAAAATTACCTGCCTACTTTATAGGATGAGAAGACTAAATGAGATTAAAACCACTAGCAAGGCTTCTAGTACACAGAATTCATGTTATTGCCTCTACCTTTTCTTAGCTTTGATTTTGAATAGAGTTTTGTGTCACATAATTTTCAGAACTGCAAACCTGGAAAACAGATAAAAGATGTATTTTGGTTTCAAATGCTAAAATTAAGTTTCAATTAAAAATGATGATACAGATCCATCAAATTGAGATGGGACGCTAACTACCAATATATTGGTAAGTAGAAAAAGCAAGTTACAAGAGAATATACTCAAGTATAATCCCATATTTATGTTGTTGTTGTTAGGTGCCGTCCAGTCAGACCTGACTCATAGCGACCCCTCCTTGGGTTTCCGAGGCAGTGATCACTACGGAAGTAGATTGCCCAACATTCCTTCCAAGGAGTGGCTGGTGGGTTTGAACCGCCAGCCTTTGGGTTAGCAGTCAAGTGCCTAAGGCACTACACTACCAGAGCTCCTCATTTTTATGATACATATATATATATATATATAAAATGATAATCATCAGATGGTGTACTTTGTCTTATACTTTTCTGTAATGTCTGAATTTTATGAAGAGTATGTATTTCTATTATAATTTTAATTAGAAAAAAAATCTGACAGATAATATTTTTGTACAGGAAAATTAGGTGGAGAGAAAAATACATTTTTATAACCTTAGAAAAATGAATTTAACATTTTTAAAAGGCATGAAAAAAAGTTAGAAAGTACACTAATTTTTGTTTGAATTTTACTTTTCTAAATAGAAATGTGGCTTAGACATGAGAAAACTATTTCCCTAACTGAGGAAAATACAAATGTAAGCTCCACAGGGATAGGGATTCTGTCTATTCTTTTATATTCACCACTGGGCCTCAAGGGCCTCCCACAGAACAGGAACTTAGTAAATAGATAAAATAAAATAGATAAAAGTTCTATTTACCCTTACATTCAATGTCACTGCTTTCTATCACTAGAATATTGGCTTATTCATCCTTGACCCCAATAGCCAGCATATTACCTAACAAAAAGAAAAAACCTCAGTGCCATCAACTCGATTCTGACTCATAGAGATCCCCTTTGGGCTTCTGAGGCAGTAAATCTTTATGGAAGTAGATTGCCCAGTCTTTCTTCCGCGGAGTGGCTGGTGGGTTTGAACGCCAGCCTTCTGGTTAGCAGTCAAATGCTTTAGGCACTATGCCACCAGAGCTCCTATCTAACAAACATAACAATTCAGTTGCTTGTTAAATAACAATTCTGTTTCTTGTCAAATAAATTGAAAGTAAAAAATATAAATAATGAAACTGATAAAAATTATTTTGGAAGCTATAAAGTCAGTAAGAATTTGATAAGCATTACTCTCAAACACTATGTTCATTCTAGACTGTTAACTTCTACATACAGGATAAAGGCAGTGAAAACAAAGAAATGGGGGCATATTACCATTTCTAGAATTCATTACATCATTGTCTGATAAGCTAACAATACTAACATTAGCAATTTTGAATCAGGAATGTACATAAAATAAAAGTACAAAAAAGAGAATATAAAAAATTTTATAAATGAATTTTTTTATATAATCAAGGCCTATGTAGTCTAAGTCAAAAAGATAATGAAACAAAACAAAACAAAAAAAGCAGACCTACCTTGGGCCTCTTGGACCTTCCAAGTAACTGCTTCTAGGAGGATCTGGAAGCAGTCCACCTGACCTCACTGGCATGTCCTTGACTGCAGCGGAAGCAGCTGAAGATTCCCCAAGTCCTTGCTCAGATGAGAATGAACTGTATGGTGGAGTAGACTTATTCAGAGGAGTTTTAGAATTCACTTGATCTGATGGGCCAATGCCTGACTGCATTGGAGGATGGTAAGTTGAGGGTGGAGCTGAACCAAAAGACACAGGAGTGGGAAGCAGTGCTGGTCTAGGTTTCTCTGGAACTTGTGAGCTCTGAGAACTAGAAGTTGGTGGAACTGGGGCTGTTGTCAACTGAGGAGGTATCCCTTGTGGAACTCCAGGGGGAGGGATTCCTGGAGGGGGTGTGGCTGAAGACAACGGTGGGAGGGGCATAACAGGTGGAGGTGCTGTTGAAGACAGAGATGGTGGGGGCAGAACTGGTGGCGGCCCTGTGGAAGAGAGGGAAGGAGGGGGAAGAACCGGTGGTGGCCCTGTTGAAGACAGAGATGGAGGCATCCCTGGTGGGGGCACAGAGGTCGGTAGAGAAGGCGGCATCACAGGTGGGGGCATGCCAGGTGGTGGCACAGTAGCAGGCAGGGCTGGGGGCATCACTGGAGGTGGCAATGACGGAGGCAACACCGGAGGGGGCATTGTCGGTAGAGGTGGAGGCATCTGTGAATATGGAACAAAAGGAGGTGGCATTGACATGTTCCCCATATACTGATTCTTCATGTTTTGAAATGAAGTGACTCTCTCCTGGAGATAGGTCTGAGAGGCTTTCATATGTCCCTGCCATGTTTTCCACTGTTTCTCATACTCCTGAAGCTGATCTTTATGAGGGTAGGAGTGAAGCTGTTCCTCCCATAGCTGAAACTCTCGCTCCCATTCTTGGTAGAGATGTTGAAACTGTTGCTGCTGCATTTCATAGTGCCGCAACTGCATATCTACAGACATGGTCTACAAATAAAGGGACAACAATGATTTCAAGACATTCACATAAAAAAATTCATCACAAGCTAAAATATTAACGAATTAAGGACATATGAAGCCTTAAGAAATGTAAAAAAATAATTAAAACACTAAAGACTTTGAGAGGCTAAGAAAAATCTGTCAAATTCTTTCTATGATCATCAGTTTTCTTTCTTCCTTTGACTTACATTTATGTTATCAGAGTTAGGGAAAAAATCAACCAGACACTAAAGAAAATATCTACCTCAACAGTGAGCATTTTTCACGTGTTTAATATTACCATGGATCATTTTAACAATTTGAAAAATGATCTATGATTATAGATATATAAACAGAAGATAATAAAGACCTCAGTGATACCAGACAAACAAGTATTCAAGTCACTTTATCTTTTATGATTTCAATTTGTTTCAGGTTTTTTGTTGTAAGCGTTGTTGTCTGGTCTTGTTGGTGGATTATTCACTTGTCCTGCTACTGTAGTGTGATTTTTGTATGTGAAACACAGGTTAACCAATAACTATGTAGTCAAAATCCTTGGTTCTTAAATCCCTTAACAATAGTACTTCAATATCTAGCCACTGGCGACACAACCAGGAGACCTCATTTGCCCTCCCTCCCCAAAAGCATGGATAGTGTACCATACTTTCCAAGCCTCCAGGGGAACATGACATAACAAGTTGGGAACCCCTCAGGAAACACTTAATTGTCGACATCTGCCCTCTTCAAGACTTCACAAACGAATCTCTTTCAGAAATAGCAAACCCTTGAAACTTCTTGGGGGCAACTTCCTACTTGTCAGCCGAGGACGCACTTGCCTGTAAGTGCGGTGGCTGCTGTATAATCTGCTGGTACTGCTGCAGGATCTGCTGCAACTGCGTGTGCTTCTGCATGATTCCCTGATACTGGAAGCCCACTCGGTGTTGCTGGTGCTGCTGCCAGTGTGCTGCTGCGGCCTGCAACTGTTTTAACCTGGCATCTTCTTCCGGGTCCTCAGACTAAAAATAAAAGAAGTACTTTTTAAAATGTAAGTCATAAAACAGTAGCCAAACTGATAATAATAACTTCAAAAACCTGAGTATTTTATAAATGTACCATAAAGTCCAGAACTCCACAATCTCTCAATGAGTGAGACAAGTTATTCTACCCTTAGATAAAACGCCTAATTCTATCTCTACTGCTATTATGGATACCAATACAGAAGAGTTTAAAAATTCCAGTCTTCACTAGAGTGATCATCTCACCTTCCTAAACAAGACAACCAATTCTCCAGCAGAAAGTGAAACTATAATCACAGTCCTTTTCACTACATGGGGAACTCTGGTGGGATAGTGCCTAAGGCATTTGCCTGCTAACCAGAAGGCCGGCGGTTTAACCCTACCAGCCACTCCTCAGAAGGAAAGTTGGGCAATCTACTTCTGTAGTCATACTGCCGCGGACACCCAAGGAGGGGTCGCTATTGAGTCGGACCTGGGACCTAATTTTGATGCAGTGAGGAGGGGTTTCACCACATGAGCGGTTTCCAAGGAAATCCCTTTCTTTTTCACCTTAGTCACATTTCACCAAACAACTACAATCCAATCATTATGTTTCAATGAGGTTTCATATAAGGTTCTTGAAGCTCTGGTAGCATAGTGGCTAAGACACTTGACTACTAACCAGAAGGCTGGCAGTTCAAACCCACCAGCCACTCCTCGGAAGGAAGATGAGGCAATCTACTTCCCTAGTGATACTGCCTCGGAAACCCAAGGAGGGGTCGCTCTGAGTCAGAGTCAACTCAATGGCAATGGGTTTGTTTTTTTTGGTTTTGTTCTACAGATGAGGAAACTGAAGCACAGGATGGTTAACTAATTTGCCTAAAGTCATCACCAGCAAATGGCACTGCCTGGACTCCAACCTGGGTAGTTTGATTCCAAAGCTGATGTTCTAACTGTAGCCCTGTGCTAGCAATAGTATAAAACCACCCTAACATCCCTTTAGTACTTAGAGACACTCAGTGCAGGAGTGTCTAATTCTTCACTCTCACTTACACTGGGAAAATAGCTTCTTTTCTAAGCCTGATACATCTATCTGATTATTCGACAAACATAATTTTACATGTACTTAAACACACACACACACACACACACACACACGAAGATGCACATAAATATACCAAGAAAAGTAAAACAATCTACCTGGGGTTCCTCAGGTGGGAGAGGAGGTGGTGCCTCTTCGTTAGAGGGGGGTAATGGAGGCTCCTCAGGTGGAGGGGGTTCTGTGACTTGACTGGTGGCAGGTACCGTAACTTCTTCTTTTACCGGCTCTGGTGCATCCTTTGCTACAACAGGACCCTTTTTGTGTCCTGGCAAATGCACTTTTGTCCTTTGCTGCAAACTAAGCAGGTGCTGCCGGTACCAATACTGCTGCTGTTCCTAAAACAAGAAACCATTTTTAAGAACTTTATTTGGCAGCCATTGTATCTCTGCAACTTGACTTGATAGGGAGTTACATTTATGTAAGAAAAGGCAATCTACTTCTGGTAAGACGATGGAATAGGGAGAAAGACTGCACAGACCCTCTTCAACAAAGAAAAGGGAAACCAATTAACACAGACACAGAAGATAATCCTGGACCCCTGAGCCTTGAACGGAAGTATATAGAAGGGGACTAAACCCCAACTAGCAGAAGAATTTGCATGAAAATACCAAAAAAAGGAGATATACAGGGCTGCGGTATGGCAGCAATCCTGAGCAAGCCTGACAGCAGGGCACAGGCAGCTTGGAGAGTGACGAGTGGTGGTAGGACCTAAGAATTAACCTAAAAATCAGCCCTGCTAGCCAGGGACTGCACGGAGGACTGCTCTGGTGGTTGGGGAATAAAACATGAAACACCAGCAAAGAGAAAGGCCAGCTGAGCTGTGGACTTTTGCCTGTCCGGAGGGTGCCGACATTTTGAATGTTTACAAGGGGCTTGACCATTTTGGATATTTAAAAGGACAGCGCTCTCTGAGATTCCAGGGGCTTAAGAACAGGTTCTGCTTGCCAGTAACCCCAAGGATAGTCCGGACCTGGACAACTGAAAAGGTGTAACATTCCCCTTGATACTTTTATACCCCACACCTCTTGGTGAACGGAGGTACGGCCATCCCCGACTCCCACCCACCTTCTGGGCCCGCAGGAACTCCATCCCAGTCTGTGTGCTCAGGCAGAGCCTGGGTGTCCTGCCTTACCCTCCCCCAATTTTTTTCTTTTTCTTTTTTCTGGTTTTTAGTTTGCTTGTTTTTGGATGTTTTAAAACTACTATTATTATTAAACATTTATCCTTTTTACTATTATTCTTTATTCTTCCCCTCCCAGGTCCTAGTTTTCAGCTCTTTTTCTTTTCTCTGTTCACAGCTGCAATTTTTTTTTTCTTTTTCCTTTTTTTTTTTCCTCAGGGTTAACCCTGTTCCTTGTTTTTCTTTTTGCATTTTCCCCATTTTTTTTCTTCATTATTCTCCTTCTCTACATTTTTTCTCTTACTGCCCTATACCCAGATATTGTAGGTTTTCTTGTTTTTTTCTTCTTCTTTTTCCCTTTTTTCTTTTTTTGGTTACTGTTCCTGTGTGATTACATGGTGTATTTTCTGTCCATGTGCTTTTCATTTTTTGATGGTTATTCAGTTCTAATTTTGTCTAATTGAGTGAGAGACAGCAACAGTCCCCATAAGACACACTACATAACACACCTCCTGCAACTTCACTTACTGACCGAGAGCCACCACCTCCTTCTCCACCAACGGGCCAACGATAAAAAACCACCAAGAAGAGCCTGAATCACCCTTGGCTGCTCTTCACAGTTAACAGAGATCTTAATACAACAACGCCACGATGTCTCGGAGACAACAGACCATCACAGTCCACACAAAGAAGCAGGATAAAGTGGTAGAAACAAGGGAACAGTAAACAGATCCAGAACACATCCCTAAGGAAGAAGTAGCATTGGAACTCTCTGATAAGGAATTAAAAAAAATGATATTTAGGTATCTTCAAAGGATTGAGAGACAGACCAAAGAAAACAGAAAAAACCCTAGAAGAATTTTGGAAGAAAATACAAGAACAAAATGACA